TAAAATTTGGGTACTACGTAATAAATTGAAAAATAGTCTTTAACAATTTCTTAAAATATTTATACATGCAAAAATGTATTTAATCATAAAAGATGTAGTCTTTGAAAGAAATATAAGTGAGAAATGTATAAGATGAAAATGAAGCTTATGCACTAGTAATTTGCAAATATATAAAATATCATGGAGTTATCCAGTGTTATCTCCTACCATTCCGTCAATCTATTAATCTTTAAAACAGTGGGAATGAGGAAGGGAGGGAAGAGAAGGAAAAACATTAGGAATTGTATTGATTTTAATTATGATAATAAAAAGTTAGATTATATTTATGAGATATAGTATTCATAAATGTTTATATATTATGCCTATATCTCCTATATAGAGTTTACGTCGTGTGATATAATGCATGCTTATAGTATATAAGGACAAAGCTACTAAATGGATATAAATATAAATAATAATAATAATAAACAATCATGTAAGATGCTTGTTTTATTATTTACTTTATTATATTTATTATTCTATTAGATTTATATTATTTAGAGAGTAACATAAGAAATACTTTATTATTTAATTTTATTTATTTAATTTATTAATTTTTTTAATTTATGAAATAAAATTTTATCATGTGAAATTTATTAAGTCTTAATTTATTTACTTGATTCATATAATACACAACTTATGCCTACCATGATTCGAAAAAAAGTTATTCATCAATTAGGCAAATTGTCTTAATAATTAGCTGAAATTTGTCAAAGAATAATCAGACATATGGCTGTTTATATATTACTTTTATTTTTGTACAGACATGATATATGAATCATAAAGAATTATGATACAATAAAACTTATAGAAAATGGAAATAAATCCGTTTTATATTAAATTATTTAAGTAAAGTTAATTAAAACGTTTATAGTAGAGAAAATTATAAAAGCTAAACATTTAATCGTCGAATGCTATTGAATCTAGTTCATGTTTCCTGCTATGTCAATTTCAATATATGTTTTAGGTATTTAGATTTTCTAGATAAACAAGATATTTTCATTAAATAATAAACATTTACAAGAATTTCTCAATAATAAAACTTTTTAATAAAACTTTTTCCTAAAACTTTTTTACTTTTTCATAAATGTTTAATAAAACTTATTCATTTAAGTATAATAAATGAAACTTCAATTTTTATGGACAATATGAATTTATATTTTCTTAAACAATATATTCAGTACTATTTAAGTAATGAACTTAAATAAACAATAGAGATTGTATTTAAAGACTTAAAATATTCTTTTAAAAATTTTATTGGGCAGTAGGCTGATATTTAAAACATTAATATTTTATACTTGATTTTATTAATAATTTGAGAAGAGCTTGAAATCCATGAATTATATTACTAAATATGCTACTAAATAAAATTATTGTTTAGAGATTAATAAATAATGATAGCAACACAAATTTTGTAATGTAATAAAATAATATTTGTGTTATTCATTGTTTCAAACAGATAAATAAGAGAAAAATATTTATGTAGAAAGCGATATAGCGAAAGTTGCATGGACATTTTGTAAAGATTTATATCTCTGTTTTAAAATGCAGTTTTAAATATAAACTTTTAAAAACTCTTTTTGTTTAAAATTTAATGATTGTATATTATAATTTATTGGAGCTAGTTTTCTATTAAAAGTTTGTTAAAAAATTTCATAATACATTTCATTCGATTAAAATGTTTCTGTTTCTCTAACTTGAAAGTGAATAAAAAACGTGAAATCATAAAGCAAATTAAATATCTTGTATATAATGCTCATGTTTTTTTAATTTATAATTAAATTGTTTACAATTTTTTATAAATAGATAATTACATATATTTAATTTAAAAACATACTTTCATTTCATAAAAATAGGTAATATACATTTTAATTATGGATCATTACTATAATATAACTTCGTACATGAGTTTTTTCTATATAATGTAAAACTTATTAATATTAAATAGTGTAGTTACAAAGAAATTATTTATTTAAGAAATATTCAAGAATTTTATTTTAAAAAATTGGCAATATACATATGAATATAAATGTTAAATTAAATAGAAGTATTATATTAAATATAATACAGCTTTTAAACATAATTTATTGAAAAAACTGAATATAATAATACATAATGTAATTGAAACAAATTTTCATTTTAAGGCAGGTAATTTTATCTAAATAATGAAAAGATAAAATATTAATAACTCAAAATTCATTTTACATATAAAACGATTTATGGATCTAAATGTAAATTTGTTAAAATGTTAAGATCTTTCATATGATTATAATATCAATAATTTTATTAATTATGTCGTCAAATCAGTTATAGCGAATAAAATAGATTGGGTTTATGTTATTATAATATATATTTTTTTTTACAAATTTTGATTATAAAGCAAATCTGTTAAAATAGAACCCATTTCATTTAAAACATAATTTTATATTTATATCTATATAACATATAATGTATAATTATGCAATAATAAAAGTAAATTATGAATATAGAAATAATTTTAATACTTTTAATAGTAAATATATTTTAAATATATTTTGATATATTTTCATTAATATCATAAAATTTAAAATAAAATAAAATAACATAAAATTAAAATGTCTGTTTTACGTGTATTAGATCAATAAATAAAAATGTGAAAAATATCATTATTTTTCCATATTCTATATATTTTTAATATATTTAATTCTTTTAAATTGATTAAAATTGCTTTTAAAGTTATTGCAATGCTAATACGTTCTCCATGCTTGCTGGTCCCGGATGTAATTTATGAGTAAAAGTATCTGAATTCACTAACGAGTACAGTGACCGCTTGTTGGTGGTTCGGTAACAAACCTTTCTAAACTAGGGTGGTCTCTGTGTAACAGTCTCCATTCGCCAATATTAGAACGAGTGCCGTTCACTTTGTGGCCTTGCGCTTGCCTAAAAATTTTGTGTTAGATTTAGTGATGATCGTAAATAATTAATTACTAAATAACTACAAATATAAAAATGTTATTCAATAATTATAATTAATAAATAAATTTTAAAACATTATCAAATAGTAAACAAATTATAGATAAGAAAAAAATAATAAAAATAAATTTGTAAATGAAGAAATACATTTTTTTATTTTCATTTCATAAAGAATATTATTTTAAATTGATCTGTGTATATTATTTATAATGATATTATTAATTTTTAATACTACATTATTTAACTAAAATTTAAATTATGTATTTTAAAAGAACATAAAATAAATTACAAAGTATACAATTTTTACATAAAAAGTTCTGAAAAAATATTTTACTTAAATATTTGATTTAAACAACTGAAAATTTTTAACTTGTTCATACTTAATAGCATTTCATAGATCCATTTACCCTATTTTATGGAAACTATAGTATCTATGCAAATTCCTAATACAAAATATTTCATTTTTTGTAAAATTGAAAAATTTTACCTAATTCTAATATAAAATTAATAATTTATATAACTATAATAAAATTTTGTAATATGAAGTTATGTATACAAATTTAAGATTCTAAGATCAATTATCAATAATATAAATGCGTATTAATGACATTTTTAATTGTTTATTAATTTTGAGAATGTATTAAAAAAAAAACAGTAAATATATTTTTATTTAAAATTAATTATAAAAATAATATATTCTACCTTGGAAATATTAAAATTTATATAACTATAAATAATGAATGGAAAAAAGTAATTCATCTAATAATTCATCTCGGTATTGAATAAAAATGTAGATGTTTTAAATTGCATTACAACTGATTGTAAGTAATTTCTATAAATTTTAATTAATTACGTATTAATTAAACTTATTATGTATGATTATTATTATGTTTAAGTTTTACAATAAATAATACTATTTAAAAATTTTAATGTTTTTAAAATTAAGCCTTACTTAATGATAATATATAAAATAACAAAGTGATTGTTTTTAGAATGTTAAATAAGGGAATAAGAAAAAAGACTTTACAGTTTAAAAATTTTGTTTATACATTTCTGGTGTATATAGTACCTTGACCTTTTAAAATATCAATTAACTTACACACTAGACTTGAATTTATGTATGTATTTTAGAAATGATTGCGGAAACTGTATGAGTGAACGGTTTTGTTATCCAACATAATTTTTTAACATGCAATTATTTTATACAGATTTAATATGAACATTTTAAATAAATTATAAATAATGTTAAATAATAATATAGTGAATTAATATATTTGTCACATAAATATTGTTTGTTATGCATTAAACAAGATGCTTTATTTTAATTATCAAATGCATCTACTTTATTTCCTAATTTTAAATTATAAGTTTCTACTATAAATATATTTAAAAGATTATTTACTGTAAAAAAATTTTAAAAACTCCAAATTCTAATTAATAAAAGAATTAAAAATATAACTTATAAAATATTATTGAACACATTGTGATTTTTTAAATATATGGTAGAAAAAGTTTTACTTATTTTTTTGTCTAAATTCTTTAAGGTGATAATATTATTATACAAACAAATATGTATGAATTAGAAGATTAAGAAATTATATTTATTATTAGGCAGCCAACATATATAAAGTTCAAAAATATGAAATGTGTTCAGCGTTTCTTTATTTCCTATATTCTGAAGATGATTAAAAATCAACAAATAGCATGATTTTTAAGAGTTAATATAAATAGAATTTTGAAATATATAGTATCTATATTTACTTATAAATTTTATACTAGAAATAAGAGTAAAATTTTATTTTTTATTTTAAATGTATATTGTGTTTTATAATGTAGTAAAAAGTCGATTAAAATAAATAATTGAAATACAAAATTTTATTTTTTAATATATCAATCGAATTATTCAAATATATTAGTTTAATTAAATTTTCAAATAAATTATTAAAATATCTCACTTGAATTTAATAATAGATTCTAGAAATAATCAATATTATTGTTTCTCATTTAAGATTCGGCCAATATAGATGATCAGTCAACTGCATCCTCTTTTTGGAGTTCTGCAATAAAAACAGAAAATGTTTTTCCAGAAGATGAATCATCTAGACTTTTCTCCTCTGCTCACGGTATTATACGAACGAATCCTGGTAAAAATATATTTCAAAGCGGTTTTGGTGGTGTTGATAATCTGGGTGGTCGAGCTATAACAGTGCCCCCTCCAAGAACGCGTCCACTAGATTATAGTGAACGAGCTACAGCTGAATTACGTAAAAATCCATCTTTGTCAGCACCTGATGAATGCGCTCGAGCATGTCGAGAAGGAGATTCACCTAGAATATGTTATTATCATTTTACTCTTGAATATTATACAGTACTTGGAGCGTGAGTATATTTTATATTTCTTTATACATTAATTACAAAATATAGGAAGTACATTGTCATGAATGTATTTATTTATATTATGATTTTTTAAGATTGAGTTTTTCAATTTTATATATAATTAATTATATTTGTAGATTATTGTACTAAAAATATTTATTTATCAACATTTATATGAAATATTTATGCTATATTATATTATAAAATATTTTTTGTATATATAAATTGTGCAAAAAGAAAAAATTAAAAAAATTAATTCATTATATAAATTTGTATGTGTATAATTTAATTTATATTTCCAGTTTTTATCATAAATAATATAGCTGTATACATAAAAATTGATAAATATTCAATAAGAGCCACAGTATTTATTATACCATAGTATTTAATTTTTCTTCTATTTAATTATTTTTTATACATAACTATTTTACACAATTAATTTACATTATTATTTTATACAGTTATTTGACATAATTTACATTAAAAATATGTACATTATTTCACATTTCATGTAAAATATATAGTATATAGTTATCGTCAAGTTAATTTATTCAAGTATTTGTTAATTTCATTTGTCGAAAAGAATAAATTATTTTTACTTAATATTTGTAGAAGGATAGAACTATCTAATGCAAATGCATGTAAAAAAGTCTTAAGTTATTAATACTTAATAAACAATAATAATAAATAATTAATTTTATCAATAGCGCTTGCCAAGTATGTACACCAAATGCAACTAATACTGTATGGAGTCATTGTCAATGCGTATTAGCTGATGGCGTCGAACGAGGAATTTTAACTGCTAATAGGATGATACCTGGTCCAAGCATTCAAGCTTGCGAAGGCGATAAAATTGTCATAGATGTTGAAAATCATATGGAAGGTATGGAAGTAACTATTCATTGGCATGGTATTTGGCAGAAAGAATCACAATATTATGATGGGGTACCTTTTGTAACTCAATGTCCTATTCAACAAGGAACTACATTTAGGTAAAAATTAATATTAAAGTATTATTTAATATTCAATTATAAAAAAGCTTATTAAATATTGAAATATTTATATAATATAATAAAATATAAATTAAAAAATATATATTATGATATATTTATATCAACATTTAAATATTTTAATACAATTGAAACAAGCAACGGTAAATAATTAGTGATTATTTCAATATTAGGGTAACAGTTACAACGTTAGGGTTAATATTGATTTTTTCCTTTCATTATTATTTTTTCAATACTCATTATTTGCAGCCATTCATTTTTATTCATTTCGAGGCACAGTTAAATGCTACCTTTTCTCTCTCCCCTACTATCGCCATCAAATTCACCAACGATACTTAAATAGGTTAAGTCTACTAATAATACTATATTATAAGTTGATATTAATACTATTTAAAAATCCAGGCAAAGTATACAAATTGCACCTAATTGAGTTAATAAAGTAATACAACTTTTTCAAAATGTAGAAAAATTTTCTGTAATTGCAATATTAATTTATATGCAATATAAGATAATGTATGCGATTCAAAAATTACTTTTCGGCATTTGGTGACAATTATTCAATCCTGAATAAACAGACTATATCGTATTTCTTGCTTATTTTATATACTTATTATTACACAACATTAAATATTAAAATTTAAAATATATTAATTTTCTTTTTTAAACATAAAACTTGTAGCATGTGAATATTACAAATCAAAATAAATACAATGTTTGTTTACAATAATTTGTAATCGATATTTATATTTATTCACTTTTCAATAATTCATTTTTATTATACATATATTCTATGTTAAAATAATAAAAATTTACCGGCTTTAAGAATTAATAATTATTATAAATAGATACTAAATGCATATATAATAAATAATAGATAATAAAAATTTTATTAATTATAGAATGTCTTATTATGTTTTTTTATGACATGCCAGAAAAATATTAAAAATTATGTAAATATTAATAATTGTTTACAAACTAATAACTCATTTCAATTTAGAAATAAATTTTTATAATTTAATTAAAAAAAAAGCTCTATGTATTACCGGTTTGTTATAAAATAATTAACTATTATAAAAAATAACTAATATAGTGAAAAATGTTTATAGATGATTAATGTATTAGATAATGAAATTGACATAGATAAATATATATTAAACAATAAACAGTGAACAATATAAAAATCTGAAATGTTATAGTAAACTGGATTTTTTAATTAATTTAAAGATCTCTACCAATTAATATTCTTACATTAGAAAATTATGAATTTTGCAAGAATAGTGATTGACAATAAATTTATAATGTATGTTATAAAATAATTAATCGATATATAGAATTATTCATTCAATAAATAATGTGGACAAAAGATAGAACAAATTAGATCAGTAAACTACAAAGCTGATCATCATTATTAAAATATTTAAAAATATTATTGTATCCGATTATAGATTATAAAGAAAAGATTATAAAGAATCTTGATTAATATAATTAATTGTATAAAAGTTTATATATTACTTGTATGCTCTCTTTTAATCTTTAATTTTTTCAACAACTTTTGAGTTAGTGTGTAGTTTATTAATTGAAATATTATATTTTAAATTGAGAATTTAATTATCCCATATTGTAATCTGCTAAGTCAAGTTGTTAAAATTAAAACAATAATTCATTAAAAGGAAATATAATAATATATTACAAATCGTCATTTTCTTTTACATTAATTTAACTCAATCAGGTAGAAATTAAACAAAAAAAAATCTTTTGATTTTTAATTGTTGAACTGCTAAACTTAAAATTATTTAAAAAGTTAAAAATAAAAAATTATAAAACTTGAATATAATTAGCTGAAATACTTAAATTCTAAAATACTTAAAAGCTGAAAACAATTACTGAATGATTTATATGAATTAATATTATTCAGGTATTGAGAATATTTTTAAAATAAAACAAGTTTGATAAATTTTCATTGTTATAAGAACAGTTTTTTATTTAAAAAATAAAATTTATATTTTTAGTAATATCTTTTATTTGTTCAATTAATTTGTTTTTGTATAAAGGAAAATTTAATTAATGGAGCTTTGGTACACTTGTTTGTTTTAACAATGTTTTTTCAAACATTCATATTTGAAAATAAAACATGAATAAATCAATTATAAAATAATAGGTACTTTTTATACAATCGTATATATATGTGAATATGAATTTATCTTTTGTGTTACTAAATTAAAATTAAAATGACTCAATATTTATTATCATTTCAAATAGAACTTAAAAAATTAATCTTTTCAGCGATTAAAATATTTTACATTAATAAGATAGAAATATAAATACAATTATATTTGTAGATATCAATGGATTGCTGGAAATGCGGGTACACATTTTTGGCATGCACACACAGGTTTGCAAAAAATGGATGGCTTATATGGTAGTATCGTCGTACGTCAACCACCTACTAAGGATCCAAATAGTAATCTTTATGATTATGACTTAACTACTCATGTAATTCTGATCAGTGATTGGATGCATGAAGATGCAGCCGAAAGATTTCCTGGACGTTTAGCCGTCAATACAGGACAAGATCCTGAAACTGTACTAATTAACGGCAAAGGGCAATTTAGGGTATGATTTAAATATGAAGTTTGTAGAGTATCTAAAATAAAACAATAAAAATATTATTGGTCAAATTTTTAATTGCTTTTACTTTTTATAATTTATACATCTTATGGATTTATAAAAAGTATTTTTTTATTTCTAATATATGTTTGAGAATTTTTAATATAAATTAATTATTTTATAAATTAGATGTTGATTAATATTAAAAATTAAATCAATACCTACAATATAATTTCAATTTGTATATAAAAATGATAATAATTTTTAATAATTATTCATAGTTTGAAGATTTTAATAACAACCTAGATTATAAATGATTTCGCAATAATTATTCATGACGACTCTTTTATTTTTATTAACTAGCGTTTGTTTTCTTTTACTCGCTATTATCCTTTAATAATTTTAGATAGAATTCAATCGGTGGTTTTCATTTCTCTTTAACATATAATTTTATATTGATGAAGAAAAGGTATTAATTTGTATTACAAGATTGTTTGTTTTTGTGATTTTATCATATATGTTTACTATGTGTAAATGTTTATAGTTTTCCATAAATGAACAACTTTGATTCATTTTCTAAAGTAATCTTAAATTGTTAAAAGTCAAGTATTAACAGTGGGGGGTTTATCATAAATTTAATTTGATCATTTATAAGCATTATAGTTTCTGTCACTAATAGCAGTTCTAGAAATATTAAATAACTTTCCCGGATATTCCCAAATAAAAGTAGTTATGTAAAAATACAGATTATTATATAGTGAATATTTAGAAAGTCATAATTCATAGAGAGACCAAGATACAAAATTTATGTAGAAGCCTACCTAGAATTTTTATATTTACATAGAAATTTCTATTATTTTAATATTTTAATTTTTAATTCAAAGTCGTGGCGGGTCGACAGCTACAAGTATACCATGATATAGTAACTATAGAGAGGGTACACAATGGATTTTTGTATATATATGGAGATAAACAGGTATTCAATATAAGAAGAAATCTACTTAACATTTACAATTTGTATAGAAATGAATAATAGAATAATTATTTAAAGTTCTAGGAACCTTATCAATACTTATATTTCGACAAACTGATAAAGGGGGTAATCTCATACAAAGTCTACAATTATTTTAGTCAGAAAGTTGAAAGCAAGATTCATTAGATTAGATCATCAATAGAGATCGATTTTCCTCATGCATATCTTTTTATAGGTCTTGGAAGCTTTCTTATGCTTATGGTGGTACTAATACAATAGCGTTAAAATTGACAATGTCGAAAGGAGATATAAGTATAAAGAAGGGAGAGAGAGAGAGAGAGAGAGAGAGAGAGAGAGAGAGTTAACAATAGTACTAAAAAATAAGATAAAAGAAGATAAGACAAAGTATTTTCTCTATTGACGAATTTATTAAGTTAAAAAGAGATATTGGTTGAGTGCATCATATACATGTGTACATATGCTAAATATAAGTAGTATATCTACATATATTCGTAAATAATATTTACATGCATATTTTTAGCAGTGGCACATTTGCTTATATAGTCAAAAGGATCTGACTTTTTTTATCTTTTTTTAATTCAGTATGAAAAAGAAATTGCTTTTTATCTCTAATGTTATCTATTTTTTATAGGATAGATATTTGTTCTAATAAAAAATATTAACTTGTGTTAATATAATTTTGAGTAAAGAAGAAATAAACTGGATAATTATCTTAATAAGACGTAATTTTGAATTAATTACTATATAAATACACACAGTCTCTCACTCTCTCTCTCTCTCTCTCTCTCTCTCTCTCTCTCTCTTAATAACATTGCATACAATTGCCTTATATGCAATTTTACTTTACTTTTTTTTAAGTAATTTATTTGTATAATTTTTCTGTATTTGAAAATAGTAAATTAGTAACTATTTAAGTATAAGAGTTATCATTTCATTTATTTATATGAACATGTATTAAAGTTTAGAATTTATGTTAATTATTTAATTTTATTTTTGTGGCAAAGTCATACTAAGTAAAAGTAATAATTATGTAATATTTACATGTAAAATAACAATGTTATTTTATAAATATATTATATATATCATTTTTTATACTTTTTTTAGAGCAAAAATGATTTATTATTTAGTTTGGAATTCTTACGTTTCAAATTTTGGCAGTTTACATAATTATGTAATTGATATAAACTATATAGACTTTAATATTTAAGAAATTATTGCTTTTAGTTATGATAAACATCTTTTTTAATAAGCCATTTTATAATTGTGCTTTAAATTTAATTATACACCAAAAATAAAATAATTTGGTTATAGGATCCTAATACTGGTTTTATGACTAATACACCATTTGAAGTATTTACAATTACACCTGGACGACGTTATCGATTTCGTATGATAAATTCCTTTGGTTCAGTTTGTCCAGCTCAGATAACTTTTCAGGATCATCAACTTATATTAATTGCAACAGATGGCGAACCAGTTCAACCTGTAAATGTCAATACTATAATTTCATTTTCAGGTAAATAAAAATATATACAAATTTATAATGTTATATTACCATACAGTTTTGCTGAAATATATAATAATATTTAATAATGCTATAATTAGTTTATATTAGTTTTGCTAGAATATAAAGAAAGTTCTCATATAGTCTATGAAATATTATTCAATAAGTTTTTTTTCTAGTAATAATTACATACATACGATTTTATCAATTGTAAAACAGACATTATTAAATTCACTGATTTACAATTTTTTTACGGTAACTATAATATTTCATTCTTTTATTATAATGTTTGTTTGAATTAGAATATTTTGTTAACAGTTTACTCCTTAACTTTTTTAACATACAGATATTTTCAGAGAATTTATTTGTGAATTCTTTTTAATTACTTTTGTTATATTCAACAACAAATCTTTTATTAATTTTTAATTTTCCTTTATTAAATTTATTTCTTAGAATATTATGAAAAAAGAAACAATAAGGAAGTAAAATATAGGTACAAAATTTTATTAACTACAAAATAATAGCCGACAAAAAGAATTCATAGTTTATACATACATTCATGAAAATATAAAATTAAATAAAAAACTTATACCCTCCTTATAAAGGTAAAATACTTATTTTTTACTTTTGAAATATATGTTCATTTAAGAACATAAATTTATTATATACATGTATTTTAGATTTTATTTCACTACATAAAGATACTGTCTGGGATCAGACTCAAAACCTCCTGTTGATGTTGGGTGGAGGTGTTGTTGGACCTGTGGGTTGGTGTTGTGGAGGTGTTGAGGAACGTGCGTGTTGCGGTTGCTGCTTACGTAGGCGCGGGCAGCCGCTATTGTATCTAGGTTGCGATACGTTGGTACATGTTGTTGTTCTATTTTAAGTGTTTAGTTTATGGCACGAAATGTCAATTCAATAGTTCAGTGGATTAAACTCTCATCATAATAACTTAAAAGGAAATAATAAGTGGAAGGGCTGAAAAATATTATATATTAGGTATTTTTAGTAAAAACAATGTTTATTATTTGTTAAATATTATAATAATATTGCACTGTTGTTGAGAGAGAAGATTATTTTATTGTAGTAATGAGTGTGTTTCCTTGTGTTCTTGATTATTATAGAATCTATGGATATTACTATGTATCTTGAAAGTTGAGGTTATGCTGATGTTGTAAATGTCAGCCTGTGTAGTCGATCATGCTCATGAGGCAGCATGAAAAGATGGTATTTGAATCAAGTATGCTTGATAGATGGAATAACTATACTTGATAGAGTGTGAGAAGTTTTGATGGAAATTGGTGCGTAATCAATTGTGTCTTTAGTTATAATGGGAACAGTAGGAAAGACTAGTCACACGTAAGAGTCATGAATGACAAGCTTTCGAGCTTTGAAGGACTTGATAAAAATGTATTTATAGTCGATTATTCGATAAATTGTTGTCTGGCCTTGACAGCGTAATTGACGTATTGCGTCACCTGTGTCGACTGTTTGAGGGACTGTACGGTGTTCTAAGTGTTAGTTCGAGAGAGCATACTATTTGCGTGTGTGTGACTAGCTCAATTGATAATATAAGAGATGTACCTTGTAAACTGCCGACAAGGTGTTTTGATTTACTGCGTAGCTGATGTGTCCCTTTTGATTACGATTACAACAGTATTCATTGTAAATCACTACCTAATCTTGCTGATTTCCTTTTGATAATTCACGTATAATTTTTAAATTGGTTGCCGAATTTATGGCCACGTGTCATCGTCACAATATATGAAAACACTGAACGGTAATTACAGTTAAGTGAGTGCGAGGTAGAATTACAATGAGCTTATAAGGCTTTTGGATACGCGGACGAAGCCGAAGGCTTGATCGTTTTGTGGCGGCTCTGCTGAAAATACCAACCGTTCCATGGCGGTCCTGCTGAGGGCAGATCGAAATCCGTGTGCCATGGCTTCTACTGGTAAATGGTTAGATCGGTTCACTGCGGTCGGGTCACGGCAAGATGTTAGCCGCAAGCGCAGTTCAGCAAGGGTGGATCGGCAAGAGATGTTTAACAAAGCAGTGAGGCACGCCGTGTGCTTGCCTTATATATCTACGCGGCGGCTCACTTAGCTGGCAACAAAGCATCGTGGTTGCTGCACTGGAATCTTACATGAGGCGTAGAAAGAAAAATCTAGAAGTTTCGAGAATTCGACAAAAGAAAAAGTAGGGCGTAATAACGATAGAAACTTCCGGGCGATGTTATTACTCGAAGACTGTTCGAGAATGCGAGACCTTTTCCTTTTTTTGTCAATGCAATAAAACATCTGGCAAGTAACATCGTAAAATTTGTATTTAGATTTCAAAACTTTCTTGCTCGAAATTATCAAGCACTAGTGTCATAAAATATCTGGAAAAACAATACAATAAATACGAGAAAAACCCATAGTTAGACATCTGTATTTTCGTTCCGTTCGGTAACAACTTCAAACATTACTGCAAGCGAACCTTCCTTCCCTTTCCCGCTTTAAAGGAGTCTCTGATTGGACGAAAAATAAAGGAAGGGGTTCAAGTCAAATTCATGGTCAGCATATGTATTTAAGGAGCGCAATTTTCAATACTCATCACTCTTGATATTACTCTCTTGACATACTCTTGATATTTCTTTCTTAGTAGTTATCTCGGATCAGGCTGAAAACCTCCGTTGGACGTTGGGTGGAGGTGTTTCTGGCAAGTGGAAGGGGCAATGCATTTATTCAATACTGCCTTTTATGTTTCTAGTCTTTTCTCTTATTAAATATAATAAATAATGAATAGTTAATAATCTTTGAATATCGGAATGAGTGTATGATAGAATGAATAGATGAGTGTTTCTTCAGTAATGGTGACGATAAGTCTGTACGTGTATTCTTGATAGCCTGGAGGGTGATTCCCCTTCTTCCTTTTGGTTGAGTAGTTGTAGTGGAAGACTCGTGGTGGTAGGGGCAGCAAGTTAGTGCCGTCTTGGCAGCCGGCGAGGGGTGAGCTGTAGTATACGGAGTGGTGGGAGAACGTCCGTGTGACGTTACTGTTTGTGTTCGTGAGCTCAAGGTAGTGGTGGTATCGGTGCACGTCCGTGTGCTTGATGTGGGAGTGAACCACGATGTGAGGTAATATGCAAGAACGAGCGTCGGCGTTGCTTACATGTGTTGGCGGGAACCGCGTGGTGATAGTAAGAACGAGCGTCGGCGTTGTTTACATGTGTTGGCGGGAACCGTGTGGTGATAGTAAGAACGAGCGTCGACGTTGCTTACATGTGTCGGCGGGAACCGCGAGTATAGAGTGGCGATCCTGTCGTAATGGGTTCTTGTTACTAGAAGAAGGAATCGCGGCACGTGCAGCTCCGTAAATATTCTCGTACGAACTAGGGGCTCCGATAGCGCATCGGTGGCTGTTGCTATGCCGATATTTGTCGTGATGTCAATAGGGCATAGCCTTGTAGGGATCATTGTTATTACCTTTCGGAATTATAGTCGTATATTCGAGTTTTATCGGTATAGAAGCATTCTCAAGTTTGTTGGTCAGTCTTTACAAACAAATGTTCGCGCGCTCATACCTCTCCCACTTTGTATTCAGCTTAAAAATACTGTAATCCGTACAGTAGTATACTCTTGATATTTCTCTTTTAGTAGTACTCCTTCAATACCCTTGATATATTTCATACTCAGTTAAGTTTAGTCAAAGTCCATTAACACTGTCACTGGAACAGTAGCTACAAGTCCTGGAGGAACAACGACATACATCGTATGTCCATTAACGCAGTTCAAGAAACCGTCGTTACATGTTCAAAAGGAGCGACGACTACCACTTCTTTTGATTGTCCATTAACACGTTCAATCAACAGTAGTTACAAGTCCCAGAAGAACGACGACATAAACCCGTATGTTCACTAACGCAGTTCAAGAAACCGTCGTTACATGTTCAAAGGGAGCGACGACAATCCGCATATCAGAGTCCGGAGACGATTCAACGATCAGTCTTCGTAAGTAGTATTATTACTACAATAATTACATATATATTTAGATTCAGAGTATTACATTGACAAGCAACTAAGGGCAAAGAAGCTCCTCCTAGAATGACAGTGCGTAATAAATTCTAGTACGCATCGTCAAGTTCGCACCCGCAAAAGGGGCGTCCCTTTTTTGCAACCCTCACCTTAGTTCAAGTTCGGAAACTTATGAAATTAAGCAACACACAACGCAAGTGTCGACGAATCCAGTTTCGCGCCACTCTGCGGTATCTTTCAGTCATTACGCTGCATTCATAACCTCAACCACACACGTGCTCATTCAAACAGCGCTAGTGTCGACGAACGAAACTTCGCGCCATTCGCCATTCGTATTCAACAATCAAGCTGCATAGATTACTGTACATTTGTCCCCGCAACAGATTACTTCAATACAAGAGTTAATCTATAATTAATAATAGTAATAATAGTCAACCTTGTCAACAATAAATAACAGAATAAAAAGTAAATACTTCAGCCACATTTATATTGTATTATTATAATATCCCTTCCACTTGTGACCTTTCATCGCTATCACACAACACCCGTGGCCTCTGAGTTGCCAACGGCATCAAATTGTATTCGTTGAACCGAGACTTGATAAAATAAGTCGGAATGACGAGTTGTATTTTGTATAAAGACCATATAAATATTACGGGCCATTTGAAACCAAAACATAACAAGTATATGAAAAATTCTCGTCCAAGTGTTTACAGAAATCTGAGATCTAAAAGGTCGGCGATGCCGACAATGCCTTCAATCTCGTACAGTTGTAGTTGTAGTTTCATTAATTTCACTTTTAATTTATGTTTGCACTGGCACTTCTTGAATATAAGTTTGCGTTTAAGTTTAACGGATTTTATTAGTGTGGCATTACTATTGGTTTGTTGAACTGCTAATGCTTACATACGTCGATAGCTACAGTGAGTGATGCCTGTAGTAGTAATGCTTGAAGGTAGAATAGTGAGCCCGTCGTAGAGACTGCGCGATAGTACTAGCACAAGGGAGGTGCGCGTCAAGCGCTGCTCTTAAATATTCTCGTAGGAGCTTGTGACGCCGGTAGCGTACTGGTTCTGTTGCTATACCGATTTCTTTGTCGTGGCGTCAGTAGGATATAGCCTTGGAAGGTTCATCGTTACTGCTATTCGGAATTATAATCGTATATTCGAGTTTTCAGCGAAGCGAAATTTCCCGAATTCGCTAAATTGTATTTATAAACGTACATGTCCGGGAGCTTATACCACTCTCACTTTTGGATTTCGCTTGCAACTGCTTCAATCCCGAACAGATACATTGAGATCAGAGATACAAAGTTTTTAAGCTATTTAAAGTAATTGGAATATTTTTTGTAAGCTAGATAGTAATTCTTCTTTTAACTTTTAAAACAGTAATCTATTTAAAATATGTACACAAGTCACAGTATATTCTTACTTTCTCTATGGAATGTGTACATAATGTATCCAATGATCCGGCTTGTTTCGCCAAGGTCTGGAAATCCGGGTAGAAGGATCAAATTGTTTAGAATTAATTAAAGAACCATGAAATGTTATGTGGGTAAAATATGTGGGCAAGTGAAACGGTTAGTACATTGATACAATATTTAACAAATCTGGTTTTATTGCTGTTGTTTATGAAGTCAATAGATGAACTCTTGCAGCTCTGTAGCAGTTAGCACGTAGCGTTAGTGTGCACTTTGTTGGAAGTAGGAGGTTGTGAGTTTTCTCGTAACGTGGTGCCCCTGATAGTAGGTCATTCTGAGAAAGGAGAGGTTGTAAAGCTATTACTACTTGTTCGAGTGCCACGTGGTAAATTTGCTTCGTGCGTTTGGGTATAAGCGAGATTTATCTTGAATATGAGAGTCGTAGATGATGAGCACGAACGCTTGTGCTTCATGCCCTTTTGCACGATAGTAACCTTGAATATATAAATCGTGAATGATGAGCACGAATTTTGATCCTTGCCTTTTTGATGTGCTCTGATACAAGTGACAATTCCTCTAAATAAGTTATGTTTGCTCTTGATGCACGTGCTGTAATTACAGGTTAGGATCGACATGGTATGATGCTGAATGGCGCAATGCAGGCTTCATGCGTGTTGGGTGCGAGCGAAAATCGCTTTTGGCACAGGCTGCGGAAATAGTAGGATAATAATGCTCTGGAATCTGGCTACTGAAGAGACCGTGTGTGAATTGGTGGTAAAGCACCTTATATTAAGAAGTTTACTAACGAAAACTTTCTTCGGACTCAGTTAAGATAGCTTTTCTTCCCTTTTCTTCGTGAGCACGAGCGAGTTTCAGTTGGATCGGCATGGTGGACGCTGAATGGCGCGAAGATAGGCTTCTAAACGTTTTAAACGTCCTTGATCCTTGAAGATGCTTGGTGACCTGGCTCTTGGAGAGACCTTGAGTATAAAATGGTGGCTTTGGCGCCGTGAGTTAATGAGATTACAAACAAAGACATGGTTTCGGACTGAGCTGAGGGGACTTCCCTTTTCTTTCTTCCTTCTTCCTTGAGGATCGCCACGGAATAGTTTAAATATTCTGTTTGTCTCTCTTAAATAGTTCACTTACCCTGGTGTCACTTGGGATCCTCTCCATTTTTTTGTATCCAACCGGAGAGCTTGCCGATTCATCGGCGAGAGCAGCGCCTGGCCTAGCCTTCAATCAAGAAGCTCATTCTTTTCGTGGCCCTCGAGCCAAGAGGAGCTTCTGATTTCATTGCCATAGACGACTCTGGCGGCCATATAGCAGACTTAAAAAAGGAGGAGGGGCGAATGCTTGCCCGTAGCTCTTAACGTTTGGGTGTACCGACCGTCTCAAGAAAACTCCAGATGTTTTATGACTTGTTTTGTCAGATGTTTCATGATATCAATGCCAGGTATTTTATGAGCAGGCATTTTCAAGAGTCGAACGACTACTTAATGCTTTTGGATTTGCAAGATGTTTAACGACTTGGGAAATATTCTCGCAATCTCGAACAGAATGTTTCTATGGAACTATCGTGATTTAAATATTTTTATTGCTTGATAAAGGATTTAAAATTGTTAATTAAGTAGGAGATTAATGTTTTTAAGCTGTGTATATATGTCTATCTCTTTTCTACGTTTCGTTACCATAATTTAATATTATGTCTGTTTTTATTCTTGTATAAATAATCATTTATATTTATCATTGTTTTTATTATGATCATAAAAAATTGCAATAATACTATTTATTACATTTTTTAATGGAGACAATCCAATTATATACTTCCTTTACAGGTGAAAGATATGACTTTGTTATTACTGCCGATCAACCTATTGGAGCTTACTGGATTCAACTGCGTGGGCTTGGAGAATGTGGTATAAAACGATCACAACAACTTGCAATACTGCGTTATGCGCGTGGACCTTATCAACCATCTACACAAGCACCAACTTACGATTTTGGTCTTCCACAAGGTGTTGTAAGTACATAAATATATTATTAACATTAACTATATTTACAGAATTCAATCTTATAAATTTATTTGAAAAATTTTTTAAATTATTTTCTTGAATTTTCTAATTGAATCTTTGATCCATTTTTAACTGACGATTCGTCATATATTTTTTTATATTTACTTTTTATTCTTTTTTTATGTAAAAATTGATTAAGTATTTTATAAAACTTTTCTTATTTAATCAACTAACCTTGAATAAATTAATATTGCAATTACAGAAAATTTTTCATCATTTTGAAAAAGTTGTATTACTTTATTAACTCAATTAGGTGCAATTAGAATACTTTGCTTGGATTTTTAAATAGTATTAATATCACATTATAATATAGTATTGTTTATAAGACCTATTTAAGTGTCATTGGTGAATTTTATGGTGATAGGAGGGGGGAGAGAAAAGGTAGCATTTTACTCTGCCTCGAAATGAAGAAAAATAAATATGGCTATAAATAATGAGTATTAAAAAGATAATAATAAAAGGAAAAAATCAATATTAACCCTAATATTGTAACTGTTATATGGCTGTTAATTATTTAGAAATAGAATAATGCAGAATGAAAAATGAGAGAAGGGAAAATAAAAAACAGTGAATTGTTGGGAAAACTATTTCGAAAGAATAATAAAAGTAAAGACTGTGTTTAGGATTGGAGCACTTTACAAGAAATTTAATACTCCGAAATTTGTCATCGTTCTAGCTCGCGAAATCGTAAACATTTACTCCGGAATTTCTCGATCATTTTAAAGCCTTTGCTTGCGAACTTTCTGTAATGTTTATCTAGTTTCCGCATAGCAACGTCATTTGAATTCTACAAAATTTGTAGAGCCTTGTTTTCCTACAATTTCCGAACGTTCTAGAGCTTGGACTCTGACGTCATGCAAGACTTTTGGCATAGCAACACGTATGCATTGTTGTCAGATAAGTAATGTGCCGTGCACATATTTAAAGGTCGCACGCGACAAGCCTAGATCTCTTGGTGAAATTCTCTCAGTGAAGACGCCATGGCACGGAACACGGTCTGCCTTAGCAGGACCGCTTTGGAATAGTCGATATATCTCAGCAAAGCCGCCGCGGAACGACTAAGCTTTCAGTTTTGTACATGTATTCAACAGGCTCGTAGGCTCACTCTAAATTTCTAAATCATTTAGTTATGAGTTATTACTCTACACAGCAACTGAACACCGTCTTATACCAGTCAATCAGTTTTACTAAATATACGCACATAATTCAGCCAGTCTCTACAACAATAAGTTAGTGAAGACAGACAGTGAAGCAAATATATTTAACAACTTTTTAAGGGCGCCATAATTCAAGCAGTCAAGAGTGCTGATTGCATTCCAAAGTGATTACGAAACAAAAAGCGTAAATTCTGCGCACTCATCACAGAATTTGGGTAAGATAATGAATTGCTGTAACTTTAATTGAAAGAAAAGCTGTATATTGAAAGCGCAAATGCGTCAGCCTTGTACGGCACTGATTGAGGAGACAACGTTTACTGCGTCTTGACGTGTACCACAATACAGCCAAAACACATCGAGGTATTTAATTTCTATATTATCATTAAGAAGAGAGTCATACCTAAGGTACCGTACGTGGCCCTACATAAGGAGTATCAAGGATTTACGCCCTTGCGCTTCTCTGTATAGCAACCTCCACCAAGTGCATTACAATAAGTGGATCTGGAAGTTACAACCGCCGACCTCTACTTGTAGTGCATGTTAATTCCACGTAAGAAAAAAACCAACAAGAAGCTCTAATTCAACGATTCGCACAACAACCAAGAATCTAACTTGTTTGTGCAATCCAACGATTGTCATACCAACGTACTGTATATATATATATATTTATACTTCAAACTTCATAAATACCACGAAATCCAATTGTGTTGATTACTGAATTGAAGCATTAACCTATCATTTATTCACACTTTGCCACCAGTAAAATCGTGAGTATAGTCTAATCCAATCATTTTGGTTTCTCGACCACTAGGTGACTCGAAATCCGAACAAAGTGCATACGAGAGAAAGAATATAGTTCACTATGTATAAAAATTAATTCCACTAATCCGGCTCGTCAAACAAACGTGTAGAATTAACTAAGAAACCACTAGATGTTGTGTGGGAGAATGCGTGGACAAGTGGAAGAGTTAATGCACTGATTCAAATAATTAACACATATAATTCTTTCTGCTGTTTATTCCGTTTAATTTCAATTTTATTTCAATGGTGATGATAATAATTCAGTGTATTACCACTTGAGAGGTTATGATCACTGTTGTGCTCTGAATGAACACTATAACTCTTGTTAGTTTGGTGCTTTTGACACGTGTTGCTGTTGTCTCTAATGATAGGCTGTGTGAGTGAACATGTATCTGAGATGGAGGTTAGAATAATGCGCGCTACTGAATGAGGCGAGTTGTTGGTCTTGTGACGTGGGCATGCGCGGGAAACTTCTGGACACTAAATGCTTGTAGGTCCTGTATCTGAATGGCTCGTGAAGCGAGGAATTAATACTAATGCCGACTTACTTGAGCCAGTAGTATTATCCCTTGTTTTCTCTCACGGGCGTGAAGGTGAAGTTCCATGCGCTAACTGCTTACTTATGAACTTTCCTTTTGTCTCCTCTTACTGATAGGACGAAAATCTCAGCCTTGAGTAATATGTGCTTGACGAGACTAAGTGTAACTGGGTATTAAACCACAGAAGTAGAAAGTGGTGATACAAGATTCAACTGTTTTCTATTCCTCCTCCTTGTGACTTTTCGTGAGAATAAGTCGTGACTTATCTGTGAAGAGAATAAGCGGTGGTACATTGCATTGTCCTTCGTAAATAGTTCACTGACCCGGTTCCACTTGGGACCCCTTCTTATTTCCTGTATTCAATCAGAGTTTGACTTTTGGCAGTATGATGGATCATGCACGCCTTCATTCTCACTTCCTTCTGGATTTAGTCTTGAATATGCTAATCGGGAAAGTGTCGGAAAGGGGGGAGCTTTTACTATTGGTCATCTCTCCCTTGTCTAGGACTTTTATCTTCGAGCGTCCTATAATGTTTATCTGGTCTCCGCATAGCAACGTCGGTTGGAATTCTCCTATCTTCTAAAGCTTTAGTTTCCCGGAATTCTCGAAACTTCTAAAGCGTTAGACTCGAACGCCCTGCAATATTTTCTGCATAGCAACAGCTATGCATTGTTTCCAGCTAGCAAGCTATTAGCCATACGCTCTTAAGGTACTTACACAAGGTAAGGATACCGAGGAAGGAAGACGTGTCTATTCTCCTGTGTGCAAGATAAAGGAATTGGTACTACCCCCTTCAAATCAAGAAAGTGCCAGACTACAACCACAGCTAATTCATCCGAAATGGTGTAATTAATCATGCACACAGAGTATTCGGGATGGTAAAACAATTCATCTACATATTCAATACATCGGCATGGTGGAAGGTTCAACACAGAACAGGTCAAGGCTACTGTTTCTCTGTGAGTAAACCAAGTCTAAGCCATAAATAATTGCTAATCCACACAAAATTAGCATGATGCAATTATTAATATAGTACAACCATACTCACTAATAAGAGTATGCATAATTTGTTGCTGTTTCTTACAAAATCAACATCCTCTAGGAACATCTTGGGCAGGTAAACTATTCACTACAGAATCATTTTAAGCAACTGAATAATTGTGATTAACCATAGTATATACTCTTCTATCACATAATTTCAATACAACAATAACGTTATTATAAATAAACTTTAATAAATCATATTAAACGAAAAAGCGCTCACTGTATAAATGTAAAGCCTTTGCACTAAACTCCTTCCCAAGTATCTACTAGGGTAAATTATAGGGCGGTAAATTATAATAAGTTATCGAACATTGGCAGTTTGAGCCAGAAAATCAGACACTTTTAAACAGTATCCTTTAATAGAAAATGTTATAGAAATAAAGTTAATATTATTAAGAAATTATTTTATGCATCTGATGTTATTTTTCACTTATTTTATTCTATTTTATAGACAATAAGATTTAAGATTATACAAATGAAAAGAAAATTAGGTTTACAATATATTAGTAAATTATTTGAATAAGTAATTAAGGAGGTTTGTAGATGAATGATATATTTTCCAAATCTATAAATGAATGCATGTTAAAAATTTCTGATATTTATTGATACAAGGATATTAAGTATGACAAATAGTAAATATGTCAAAAAGCTTTCAATTTTTTTGCACGTTCACTTTAATTGGACAAGATTCAAAAAGAAACCTCAAAGTAGCAATTATGATAGATTTTAAATTATAATATTTCTCTAGAGATATTTTGTCAAATTTTTAATATCTGTCAGAGACAATATATGAAATAATATTTAAGATATATTTTTGATTAATTCTGATTTGCAATTAAATTCTATAATATAATTTTAGATTTTTATAAGATATATAATATCTACATATTCGGTCTAGAAGTGGCGAAGATATTTAGGAAACTTTTTCGGTGTTTGAGTGGAAATGGAAAGGGTTCATTAATTTTATCGGGATGGCGTTTGTGAAACATAATCGACGATGATAAATTTCATTATACTGTGTAATTAATACGAGCAGATGAAAAAAAATTGCTTTACGCTACAACAGGAGCATGGTTAAAACAAAAATCATATATAATCCTAATAAATTAAAATACTCTTAAGAAGAAATTAAAATAAACTTAATAGTCCAGAGTGTGTGTAAGAAGTATGTAGCAATATGTATAGCGATATATTAATAAACTTGTACAGAGATAATAAATCTATTCTATTATCTGGCATACGTGATACATTATTATATTTCTCATAGGTTTAATTATTGTTATTATACAATATAACGTTAAAAAATTATAGTACAGTATTAGTTTATTTTGATAGATTCCATTTCTTTGATTAATATTTTTATTTTATTATTGAACATCTTTCTTGAGTACTTTAAATTATATGGATGTTTTGAATATAATATAATATAATATTTTAAAAATTTGTTTGAAATTTTATTTTTTTGTAGACTAGCATTTTTTAAATTTATAATTCAAACTTACATTTCATTTTTATTTATTTCATATATTTTTTGATAAGATTTTTTATGTGCTGTATAGTACATAAATTTTATTTATTCATAATGGTAAAAATAAAATTACTATATTATAAAAGTATTACAAATAAAAGTAGCATTTTCTATTATTACATAAGTAAACATATAATAATAATTAAATTATAAATTATAAATATTTAAATTATAAATGTAAAATTATAATAATAAAACAATACACATATTGACTGTTCGATATTGATGCAGTTTCCACGAATTTAAGAAAAAGTGGGTCATATGCGCTGTACGACGCACGGCATGTGCGCTCGGACCGGGACGCGCACTTGGGCGAATGTTTATAAACAAAACTCGGCAAGTCCGAGCAAGTTTTACGACATGAAATTTAATATCGAGGATCTAATAACGAAGTTTTCTATCTGTATTACGCCCTACTTTTTGTTTCGTCGAATTCTCGAAAGTTCTAGATTTTTCTTTTTACGCTTCGTGTAAGAATTCAGTGCAACAACGACGATGCTTTGTTGCCAGCTAAGTGAGCCACCGCGTGGATATATAAGGAAAGCACGCGGCGCGCCTCCTTCTCTTGCTGAACATTGCTCTTTCTGAACGTCGCTCTCGCTGAACGGCTCTCTCGCTGATCGGCCCGCTTGCTAACCACCCTCGCTCAACTGCACTTGCGGCTAACATCTTGCCGTGATCCGACCGCAGTGACCGACCATAATGAAACGATCTAACCATCTACCAGTAGAAGCCATGACACACGGGTCTCGATCTGCCCGCAACAGGACCGCCATGGAACGGTCGGTATTTTCAAAAGAGCCGTCACGGAAAGATCAAGCCTTCGGTTCGCGCGCGTATTCAAAAGGCTCATACGCTCATTGTAATCCTACTTTGCACTCACTTAACTGTAATTGCCGCTCAGTGTTTTAGTATATACTGTGACGATGATACGTGGCCATAAATTCGGCAGCGTAGTAAATAATATACGTGTGCATTATTAAAAGGAAATCTGCAGATTTAGTAGTGATTTACAGTGAAGCCAATTGGAATAGTAATCAAATGGGACATCAATTACGCAGTAATTTACACACCTTGTCTGCAGCTCACAAGGTACTTTTTTATATTAATTAATAAGCTAGTCACATCACGCGCAAGAATAGTCGGGCAAACTTACGGCTTCTCTCTCGAATCGACGCTTCGACCCCGTACAGGCCCGCAAGAATAGATCGGGCAAACGTACAGTCTCTCTCTCGAACCAACGCTTCGAACCCGTACAGGTCCATAAGAGTCGACTCAAGCGACGCAATTCGTCAAGCACATTGTCAAGACCAGACAACAATATATTGAATAATCGACTACAAATACATTTCATTAAGTCCTTCAAGAGCACGAAGACTTATCATTAATTACTCTTGTGTGTGACTAGTCTTTTTACTGCCCCCATAAATAATTAAAGCATAATTGATTACTCAACAAGTTCCATTAGACATCTTACACCATATCAAGTATAGTATTCCGTATATCAAACATACTTGATTAAAACACCATCTTCTCATGCTACCTCATGAGCATGATTGATCACACCTGCTGATTTTTAAAACATCAGCATAACCTCAACTTCAAGATATATAGTCATATCCACAGATTCTACGATAATAAAGAATACAAGGACACACCCTCATTACTGCAATAGAATAATCTTCTCTCTCCACAACATTGCAATATTATTATAATTATTAACAAATAATAAACATTGTTTTACTAAAATACATAATATTTTTCAGCCTTTTCACTTATTATTCCCTTTAAAGTTATCCTGACGTGAGACTAATTCACTGAACTATTGAATTGGTAGTTCGAGCCATAAACTAAGCCTTTAAAATCGAACATTGACCATTGTGATTAGATTACATTTATATTTATTATTAAATCGTAATATTTGAATTATTCGATACGAAAATTTTCGATGAAATTTAAGCTTCGTGCTATATCCGCATTGCAATAAAAGAAGATTCTTGAATCTACTAAAGCTTGCCTTCCGAGAATTTACTAGAGCTTCCAATGATTACAACGCTGAATGTACGCAATAATATATAAGGTGCAAGAGACGACGAAGAAATTTAGTCTTGTTGAGCAAGTCAAGTGAATCAGTGCAAGTCATAACAGTGAAAAGTTCTACACGTCTATAGGAATCCATGCAAGGTATATACAATTATTTACATTATTTATTCTCTATTACTGGCCAGCTATCCGTGCGCCCTCCGCAACGTGACTATAGTCAGACCGCTTTGAGAGCGACGACGTAAATTGGCATCTCCAGCAATCTATTTGTATTATATTATTTTATGGCTCTGCGCCGACATTATCCGTCGGGCCTTTGCAACTTGATTCTTATCAGATCGCTGAAGAGGGCGCCGATACTATCTGGTAACTCCCGCTATAGTACACTATAGTGGCACTATCGTCAGGAATTTGCAACTTGATTATTATCAGACAGTCAGAAAGTGCCGATACTGCCATGTAGGCCTCGCTAATACAGTACATTGGGATTATTGGTCAGGCCTCTGCAACTTGATTATTGTCAGACCGCTGAAGAGAGCGCAGATACTCCTACTACAGTACATTAAGCGACAAGGGCTAATGTTCTGTGCACTAATAATTAATTCTACTGTTTGAACTTAAGAAGAAGCACGTGTCCCATATGCACGTAGAGCGTGTCGATAAGTTTTCGCGGCATTTACGCCATACCTTGCCGACCTAACCTATTTCGAAGTTCGAGTCCGCCACTGATGAAAGCACGTGCCCATACACATGGACTGTATCTGGAAATTAACGAATTAAACAGAGTAACAACTAGATTTATTACACTATCCTTTTCACTTGACCGAACATCGCTACCACATAACATCTCGTGGTCTCTGAGTTGTCAACAGCATAAACAATTTTGTATCCTTCGAACCAGTCTGGGTAAAATGTGCTGGATTAGCGGATACACTTTGTACAGATTTATTTAATTTGATTTAAGTTACAGATTAGCTGTTTTATTTCAGATGACTGCCTATTGATTCCCTCAAATGAAAGTCTCATTTTTTCTTCTATTTAAAAAATGTGTTCTTTTTCTTTTTCTTAGTGTCATTATTTGACCATATAAAAACTGTGCTTTGTTAAACAATAATTATTGTATTTTTCTTGATTTTTCAAATTGACTAAGTATAAACATTAATAGAAAAATAATTGATAATACAAATCAAAGAAATAATTATTTTTATATAAATATTGTTTTAAAATTTATTTTGCAAAATTTTATATTTCATTATAAGTATTATCGTATAACATTTATATATTATATTTTAATTTATATATTGCTATTTTTTTAATAAGGTCCTCAATCCACTTGATGCTATTTGTAATCAACCTCGCAATGATGCTGTTTGTGTTAGTCAACTGAAAAATGCACGTTCAATAGATGAAGGTTTACTTCAAGAACGTCCAGATGTAAAAATATTTCTTCCCTTCCGATTTTTATTTTATCGTCCAGAAGAAGTCTTTCAACCAAATACATACAATCGATATCTTGGTGAGATTTGAATTAAATAAATTATAAAAAATTTATTTTTAAAGCATTAAAAATAATATTTTTAATTATTTAAATATAAGAAATTAATTATTACATCTAGTTCACATCACATAGTTAATTTATTTAATTTGTAAAGTAAATTCACAAATTTGTTCTTACTTTCAATATAAAATATTCTTCATATTCTTAAATACAATATATACATATAATTTATTAAAGTTCTTCTGATAATAAGATACTTAATATTGTATTTTAAATTTTGGTATTTGAATAATAAAAAAAAAAAATTAACGAAAAATATGAAAGGGTAGATGTTTAGAATTAGACTGAGTGGATCAGTTTACTGGTCGGAGAAAAGTGTGCTCCCGGCGTCCTTTGTAAGAGAGCACCTCTTTCATGGCTTCTGTTAAGACAGTCCATCTTCTGCGGCGTCTCCCTTAAGAGAGCACGTGTTCTTTGTGGTCGTCACCAATCAGAGCGCCTCTGGCTTTGGTGTCTCTACTTGGAGCGCCTCTAGCTTTTGCGTCTTGAATTAGAGAGAGTAGTCTATCTCATGGCGTCTCCACTAAGAGGGACGCCTGATTCAAGCTCCCTTGCTTTAATTATCCAAACGACAGTATGGTTAGATTAGACAACAGTGTATGCGATTGTGTATCGTTAGATTTTAATTTTTGGGCGTAACGACTATTTCTAAATGTCTAACGACTTGCATTTTCCCAAATCTCTAATACTCACATGAAGTTCTCGCAATCTCGAACAGTAGAATCTACTTTACTTACATTTTTAATTTATAAATTCTAACTAAATTTGTTTTTAAGATCAGTAAAATATTTGTTTTATGAAAGATTAAAAGAAATAAGTTAAAGATAAGATAACAGTGAAAATTTTTGTTTAAAATCAAATATATTTTACAAAGCTTCTAATTCGAACAACAGAAATTTATTTATATGTACTTTAAGTTCCTGACGTTGTATCTAAATATTAGGATACTAAACATTTCATATTTTATAGAATGTTTTTAATATATTATTTTTGTAAACGAATTATTCAACTAATTAATATTCGATTAATATTCGAATTCCTCATTAAATAAATAAATAAATAAAAAAATTATGTCTGCGAACAATATATATTTTACACCGTATAGAATGTTTTCAAAATGTGTTGGCTTTCTTATTTAATATTTTTTTATTTTTTTTAGTCAATTTTTAAATTATATACTTGCATAAATATTTTCTTAATGCGTTAGTAGACTATATTTATTCTATAGGCACTTCCACATTATTTATATAATAATTTATATGTAAATTGAAAAGTTCATATTATAAAAATGAAGATAAATAGTGCATATATTTAAAAAAGATTTACAACCTTTTTTTATGAAATTTCACTTTTATGAATTGTTCATATGATCAATCAATAATTTGTACTCAATTAAAAGTTAAGACTTTTTACTATGTTTGTTCTAGATTTTTATTAAAAGTTTTCAATTATATATGCATTTTTATATAATTAATATTTTTTTATTTTTTTACATCGATATAAAAGGTGAATTTAAAATAATTTTTTCAGAAAATCTATTCAAGTGGTTTACTTAGAATATTAATTAAATAAAAAACATTTATATAGTAATTATAAAAAAGATTAATAGAAATATGAAAGTTTAATGTATAAATATTTTATGTATACTATAATTATAAATGATCATAACTTAGAAATAGTTTTAACGAAGTTATTGTAATATTTTTAACATGTAAGATTTATAAATACATCAATTTTTTATATTATTTAGTTGAACACTTAATGGTATTGCAATTGTTTCAATGCGTCGATTTTACAATTATTATGTAATTATATAAATAATTGAAATTATTCGAGATTGCGAGAAAAGTTTCTTGCCACGATTTCTCACGGTCGCTGGACACTCGAGACGGTCAATGCATCTGGAAAACTCCAGTGAATAGTTAGCTTATTTATTCTTGCTTATCTAAAAAAGTGCCCATGCTTTTCCGGAGCAATTAAACTAATTTGTTGTTTACTGCCGAGAAAACAGATTCTGAAAGAGTATCGAATATACGCAAACTATCGAGTACAAACATTTCCTAAATTTCACTGCAACCCAAAACCCCGCACGTGCGCATTCGGTCTTTTAAGATAATGCTTGCATTGTTCTTAACTACGCCGCATCTAGTCGATCGCATTGGAAGATCGACCACCACCAAGAGGACCCTTCATCTAGCCAAGTCTCAGAGAAGGGAGAGGCGACCAAGAAGAGGCGACCAATAGTAAAAGCTCCCCACTTTCCGACACTTTCCCGAATAGCATATTCGGGAATGAGCCTAGAAGGAAGTGGAAATGAAGGCGTGCATAATCTATCGTGCTGCCCAAGGTGACCCTCTGATTGGATTACTGAAAGGAGAAGGGGTCCCAAGTGGAACTGGGTCAGTGAACTAAAAAGGGCAATGTAATGTCCTATTCTTATTCTTCTCCTGATTGAAAGGATAAGTCATGACTTACTCTCACGGAGGAGGACCAGAGACAAAGTCGTTCAGCTGAGTCAAGTAAAAGTTCTTTCTACGACTGTGAATCAATATACAGTTAAAGTGATCTCATCAAGCTTTAGATAGCATAGGTTCTGAGATTCTTGTAATTTCAGCTGGAGACAAGAAACAAGTTAAGAACTGTAACTGTCTTTCTATTACTGTGATTCAATATACAGTCAACATTGATCTCATCAAGCTTTAGATAGCATAGATTTTGAAATTCTTGCAATCTCAGCTGGAGACAAGAAAGAACTTAAGAGCTGCAATTCGTGGAAGGGAACTTCACATCAAACCAATGAAGAGGGACTGAGAGCATCACACTACACTGCAAGTAAGTCCTTACCGCTAGTGCTGATTCTTCATCTCTCGGCTTATTCTGAAAACGGACAGCTGATAGTCCGACTACAGAAGCTTCCCATGCATGCACTAAAAGCAAGACCAGCTGTTGACGTCACACAGTCGCTTTTCATTTCCTCCAACGATCAGCGATTCGCGCCACATTGGTAGCGTACATTTCCGCAACGATCAATTGTTGACGCCACACTGGTGGCGCACAGCTCCGCACGACCTCTATTTTAGGCACTTACACAGCTCATTATTCAGAGGCAACTGCAAGACGTGTTGAGTTGAAACATGACAAGATTGTAGTGTTCGGTCAGAGCACTACAACGATCATAACCTCCAAAGTGATAATATTCAATAGATTATAACCCATTTCTTTTCACAGTAAATCATAATATCACCAGTTGCATGCAGAGAATAAGGAATTGATCATCTTCCAATTCTCCAATAAAAGTATATTTCAACGCCACATGATTATTAAGAAATATAAAGGTCATTTGTAATCTCATCACGGTTAATTATCCAAACTTGGAAATAATGTGAAATAAATGGAATAAACAGCAGTAAAAATTAAATCTATTACTTATTGAAACAGTGCATTGGCTGACGAGTCGGATTAGTGGAATTAATTTTTTGAACAGAAATGTATACGAAAATCTTGTACTATTTATAATAGTGAGTTAAGAATTTATTTTTCTTAGGTTTAATATAAGTTGAATTATGCTATTTATTAGCTTATTAAGTAGTTATTAAGTCATTAGTTATATTATTAGTTATTAATTATTAGTTATTAATTATTAATATTAATTATTATATTAGGTAGTTGCGGTATGTTGTAGATGTAACTTTTTCGATGAATAACGAATATTTAGATTTTTACTAACCTATTAAGTTATTAACTGGTCTAGCTAAGATGCTTTGTTTATTACGGAATACTAGTAGAATCTTAATCGGATTATTTCCTATATATTTCGTTCCCTCTCTTACTCTCCAGTCTTGGATTCTACATTATTGTCGTTTCAATGATACGATAGAATCGATAATGCAAAAGAGGCTTTATTACTACTCTAGTTATTGCTATATTCCCAATATGTAACTGTTATTCAGTTAACATTATACTTAATGCTTTTTTTCCATTGTTTGTAAAAATCATGAGATTATATGCAAATACCAGACTTGAAGTTTTAAATGGTAGTTTTAAATAAAAAAGTTTTAAATGGTAGTTATAGTGTAGTTATTGATAGCGATAAATATAAATAAATTTATTAATCAATTAAAACTGGTTTCTTAATTTTATAATTGGTGTTACGGATTGAAACGGTTGAAAAGCGGAATACTAGTGTGGGAGAGATATGAGCGCGCGAACAGTTGTTTATAAACACTAGCCAATGACTCGAGAAATATTTCTACGCTGAAAACTTGAATATACGATTATAATTCCGAAAATTAATACCAATGAACCTTCGAGGCTATGCCCTATTGACGTCAGGACAAATATCGGCATAGCAACAGTCACCGGATCGCTACCGGCGCCTAAAAACTACCACGATAATATTTAAGGGCTGAGCTTCACGCATAGCTATCATCATCGATGCAGACAATTAGTAAAAAATTACATAAAGTGTGAAGGTAATGCACATACTAAACAAGTTCCACCGAATATATCAATAGTCGATGTCATAACAAATGTTTCTCCTGAAGTGTTAATAATAGAAATGATAAACTCCCCGAAAATATCTGAATACCTATATCTCCCGAAGAATCTGAAATTACAAACAATATTTTAAGTTATTGCAAAGGATGAATATAATAGACGAATCACATTATCCTCAGAATGAAGATTATCGGATAAACATTCATATAATATTTCAATAAGGGATAAATCTGAATTTGATAAACCAACTGAAACTATAACTTGAGAGCAATATATCATCAGAAGTAAATGACTATATAAGACCGAAAAAATCAGGTACACAGGCATCCCACCGGATGATATTTTAAATGAAATAAGAACAAAATTAACAGTCTTATAACTACTTCATTAAATTCTTTAAATGTAATCATAACTACAAACAAAACAAAAATGCATAAGTTTAAGGGCAATTTAAGCTCATTATTAACAAGTTTCATAAAGAAAGTGTTGAGGACATTTAATACAGATTCAGAAAACTGACAATTCAGACTCATGATCTAAAAGGAATATTGAACACAGAAACCATCTATAACAACGGGTCCTATATACAATCTAAACAGAAATAATAAATGATTATGTTGATACTGAAATTAGATACATGGCAGTCAGAAACGTTTGCCCAGCTGAGGATGAAAACTTACTCGACAAAGAAAACTCCATTGTCAAGACCTTAATAAAAAAAGAGGTCAATTAATTGTAATAAAAACGGTCAAACAAACCTAAGCCTATGAGCAATTACTTCTAGGCCAGAACACAGCATGCCTAACGATATATTGAATAAATAAATATAAATCCAGTAAAACAGACATTGAATTATATTCGAAAATGTAGTGATGTAATTCTTGGCTCGAACTGCCAATGCTTCAATAGCTTAATTTGCCGCCCGCCCTAGCAGACGCTCGGGAAGGAGTTAGGTGGAAGGGGTGTACAAAAGTCGTGAGAGTTAATTATACATTTATTATATAATTTAATACAATATTTACATATAGGTGTTGTAGAATCTTCTTGAGTTTAATGTGAAATTACGATTTCATTAACTGTTTCTTATATAGGAGGTGTCAGTACACAAGATGCTCTTGAAATCGTTTAATTGAAGTTGAATTGAAAATTACACTGGTAAATAATTGCTGCACACTTCTTGTCAGAGAGTGTGAGATAATTTTACTGGTTGTGTTGTGCCGGTTTTGCCGTCGGCTGGCAAAATTATGTAGATAACGCGGATTTGTGTACTCACAACGATATCTTAGCTGTGTTCAGGTCCAAGGGTGAGTTGGTCATCAGGGCACGCGGCAATGCAAATACGTACAGGGTGATTTTTATACTCACAGGGACGCAGTAGTCTTGGGCTAGTCAGTGGGTCTTCGTAGTATACTTGTCTCTAGTTTATTAACAGGTATTACTGCGTTGAGTGATCGTCAGACTTGGCTTCCATAAATAATTGTCCTCTGTTACTTGATTTTTCTTTCGTTAGCCCTTGACTGCCACGCGAGCCGTTTTCTTAAATTCTTTCTGCGGACAGCGACTTTTCGCTGCCTTGTTCCCATCTTTAAGCCTCTTGCCATGAGTCCCCGCTCAAGGAGCTTCTGGTATTAGTTTTCCAATCAGGGCGTGCCGCTTTTCGGCGGCATGATGAATGTGCACGCCCTTTTCCCACTTCATAAGAAATTAGGCTTAAACAATGAGAATATCGAAGAAGTATCGCTGGCGTCAATGCGTAAAGTGGTAGATTTGCCCCTCTCCGGGACTCATCGAGGTGGAGGTGAATTTTGGTTAAGCATCTTCGCTTGGCCTATGCAAGCAGCAACATTTGTCGTACTTGACAACAATGCATGCTTGTTGGTGGCATAGAAGGCACACGTGCGGCGCAGATTGCTGGAGGTCGCACGTGCCGATTTTCGGGTTGTGAGGGATTCTAAGAAATATTTTTCATTCAATTGTTTTCAAATAATTTAAACCTCAAAATATAGTCTAGTAAACAAGCTAGCCGAGTTTGATGGTAAGTCGCAAGGGTCGTTCATTACATTCAAACAATTACTACGTCTGTAGTACGTAAGGCAATGAAGTGACTGTTGACGAGATGTTCCAGATATACTGATCTTTTTTAGGCTTCAGCAACTTGACGAGACTTTCTTAGACTTTTATGTCCGTTTGATAATTCCCTTTTCATAATAGCTGTTAAAATTTCCTAATGAATATAATTCAAGAGATTTTCTTTTCACTCTCGAACTTTTCATTTTCAATTTTTTCATTGAATACGCAAAATTGTTTTATGCTATATATTCAAGCTTTTGTTAAGCTTTATTATATAGAATACTTCACATAATAATAAATAAAATATATCTTATTATAAATTTAAGATTGATAATACAGAAATTATGCTAAATAAATAATATATTATTATGTTATAAGAGTAAATATTATTTTTACATACTCACGTAATACAAATATTCTGAAAATGTTTTTAATGTAATGTAGATTCAATAATATTTAATATGTAATAGATATTTGCGAAATTGGGTCGAATTTTCAATAGCATGGACTAATTTAGAAAGTTGAGAAAATGAATTTTAGATAATTAAAGTGTATTATAGTCTTCGAGATTCCGAGAATCTCTCGAGTATTTAGGCGTCGAGAATTTCCTAAGCGTTAGAATCTGGGAAAAATTCAAATGTCGTTAGACATCTGGAAAAAGTCCAAGTGCCGTTAGACATCTTTCTAGTATCACAATCGCATCCATTGTTATCAGCACTAACTAGGCTGTTGCGTGGATATTTAAAGCAAGCACGCTTCGAGAAAGCGCTCTGTCTTAGCGAGGTTATCATAGAAGGAAGAGGCATCATTCTCCTGTTCATATTACTTAACGTTAAGAGGCAGTGAAACTGTTGAACCATCTCCTCTCTTTCAAGAAAATATTAAACTACAAGGAATAAAGTGTCGACACACTCCTTGCCACAGAGTATGCATAATCCATTGCTAATCCTTACAAGATCAGCAACAGTATCATTATCATCATCACGGAGCCTCTCGTGATAGTGAACTATTCATCACAGCATCAGGTCAGTACAACTGCATCGCTGTGAGTGAACATAGTATCGACACCCTCTCTTATAAGAAGTAAACCCAACACATCAATAATGTAATTGTAAATAAATCATAATAAACCATATTTAACGAAGTATGCACACACTGTATATCTCTACAGCCTTTCCACTTAAGTCCTTCCCAAGCATCCGCTAGGGCGGGCGGCAAATACAAAAGAACTGTCGAATAAATAGAAATTACGACACATAAAAATTATGTATTAATATATCAGTAATAATGATTTTTCAAACCTTATTGATGTAAATGTAAGAGAAGAAATTACTTAACATTTAAATATTGATTTTCTTATTTTTTATTTTAGCCTTATAAAATTTTTAAACTGCATTAAGACGTCTCTTTTTTAGTTTTCTCTATTAAATATTTTGTCTGTAGTATTATTTATGGATATTTTTGAGATTTTCATTTGAAATTTTGATATAAATTATGCGCAGCAAGATTTTGGATAATTCATTTAGTAGTTGATTCATTTTTCATATGCGTTTTGGTTAGTTATTTAATAAGGTTATTACATTCATAAATAATAATAACGTGAAAAAGATAAGATATTATTTCTAAATAGATTTAAATTAAAAAAAAAGAAATTATAATTTTTTATAAATCTTTATTTAGTTTAAATATTATCAATTAATAAATTTCTAATCAAAATATTGAATATTATATTAGTTAATGATATTTACGTGCATATAGTTTTTATATAAATAGGAACAATAGTTTTTAAATAGATTTATAATATATAAAGTTTAAATTAATTCTTCGTCATGAAAAAAAATCAATAATATTTTTAATATTTTAGTTATGATTTAAATGTTTGTAATTAGATTCTATATTAACTTTATTAAAAATTTTTTATTTAGTGGCACCCACTGGAGATCATGTAATATCACTTGTTGATGAAATTTCATTTACATTTCCACCATCACCGCCATTATCGCAGATTGATGATATTCCACCCGAACAATTTTGTAATGGTGATAATAGGCCTGCTGATTGTGGCGTCAATTGTATGTGTACACATAAAGTTGATATTCCACACAATGCGATTGTCGAAGTAGTCCTTGTTGATGAAGGTAAATAAAAATTATTTGATATATTTTGTTGTACATCTATTTTTTTTACTATTTAATTAATTTTACGATTTATCTAATACATATGAATATTGGTGTAAGTAATAATAATACAACAGTATATATTTAAGTAGTAAAACACATAGTATTTTACTCAAATAACTCCTGGCAGTGCGTTTTTACTTTATATTAAGTTTTGGGTTTCATTAATGAGACTAAATCAAAGCAGACAAGTATATTGTAGTAAAAGATTAAATAATATAGCTCGTAATTTATACTAAATGATACAAGTAATTTTGGAATATGGAATGAAGATTACGCAGCACAATGGAAACACATTAAATTAGAAGCAAATTTACCAAAAATCAGAGATGTGTAGTAACGACAGAACAAAATAAAAAAGAGAGATATTCAATTTGAATTAAGAAATGAATACAAATATGTTCTGTTTCTATTATTTTTATTATGTTTTATTGTTACTAAAGGAAAGCTGTGTTTTGGTAAATTTGTTTTAATATAATAGATTGCCATCAAGATGTGTAATCTTTATTACAGATTCAGCAGAAATATATATATTGTTTGGGATTGGAGCATTTTTTAAAAACTTATGAATATTTAAAAATACCTATGAATTGTTGCCAGCTAAGTAATCTTCCGTGCGCATATTTAAGAGGTGCACGTGTCAAGCTCGCTCTCTTAGTGAAATTTTCTCAGTGAAGACACCATGGCACAGATCACGGTTTGCCTTAGCAGCACCACCATGGAATAGTCGATATATCTCAACAGAGCTGCTACGGAACGACTAAGTCTTCAGTTTCGTACGTGTATTCAACACGCTTGTAGGCTCACTGTAAGTTTCTCAATCAACCATTACTGTACATAGTAACAATAAACTACTAAGCCAACAGTGAAGCCACAATCAATTATAACCATTTAAGTGCGCCATAGTTAAGCAGTCAAGAGTGCTGATTGCATTACAAGAATATTATTATGATAAATCATGCTGCCAAAGTCGCGCTCTGATTGGACACAAGAAAGAAGAAGGGGTCTCTATTGAACCGGATCAGTTAATTATTTAAGAAGGACAGTTGAAATGAATCGATACTTATTCTAACGAAAAGTCACGACTATTCCCGAGAAGGAGGAACAGGGAAAAAGTCAACTACAGCTGAATCTTGTAGAAATAGCTTTCATTTCTGTGATTCACGACCATAGGTACATAATCTCGCCAAACAAATAAAGCCCAAGGAATGAGATACCCGCCATCTCAGTAAAGAGAGACAAGGAAAGTTCAAGTGCAAGCAGTTCGTGCAAGGAAGCTTCACTTTCACGCCTGTGAAGAGAAACAAGAAAAAAACCAACAAACCGTTAGTGTCCAGAAGTTTCCCGCGCATGCTCACTACGCAAGACCAGCAATTCGCGCCATTCAGTGGAGCGCATTTCCTCTAACCTCTATCTTAAGCTCGTGTTCACTCACACGGCTTATTATTAGAGGCAGCTGCCTCACGTGCCAGGACCACGAAACAGACAAGAATTGTAGTGTTAACAGTCATAACCTCTCAAGTGACAGTATTCAAAAAGTAACAATAGTTTTATAACCTATCTCTTTTCATAGTAAATCATTATCTCACCTGTTACATCCAGTGGATTAGGAATTTCACCGCCCTCTGGTTCTCCAATAGAAGTATACCACAATGACATATCATTATTGAGAAGCATAGAGGTTCATTTATAACCTCGTCAAGCTTAATAATGCCTAAATTGGAAGTAAATTGAAAAGTAAATGGAATAAACAACAATAAGAATTATATGTATTAATTATTGAATCAGTGCATTAATCCCTCCACTTGCCCACAGATTCTCCCACACAACATCTAGTGGTTTTCTTAGTTAATTCTACACATTTGGTTCTTCGAGCCGGATTAGTGGAATTAATTCTAAACACACAAATATTAATTTTATTATTTCACAATTATCGATGTTTTAGCTTTTTTACTATTTCCCTTATTTACTATGATTAGTAAATTTTTATATAACATCTGCTCTATAATATATTTTTGATTAAATTATTAATTCTCTAATATATAAGTAATTGCTAATTTAAGTAAATTATAATTATGATAATGTGATGATTTATTTGAAATTAAGATGATACTCCAAATTACAATTGATAATAAAATCCTTTATTGAAATACACTGGCACTAATTGTTAATTATATTATTACAAATGGGTCTTGAATGTGTCTAATAGTTAGTAGTTTTAGATTGTGTCGTTTTTAGAAAGAATAATAAAATATATTTATATATAGTGGTATTGAATATAAATAATAAGTAGACAAAGGATAAATTTTAGGAAATTTTTAAAAATATATAAAAGGAATAAATTACAAAAATAAGTATTATTTGAATTTTACTATGTAACAAAGTAGACTAAAAAGCATGTATAAAAGTATAATTTTTTATTATTTTTAAGATACTTAAAATTAATAATTATATATCGTAATTTTTAAAAATAAATGAGCATACAATAATTTAAACTAATGATTATAGTTCATTAATTAAGCATTGATATGGAGAAAATTGTTGAGCTTTTTTTAAAAATATACAAGTTTATAAAATTAAATACAACGCATGATATGATTTATGCATCAAGTTTACAAAATTGCATGCCAGTCCATTAAAGTTCTTTAATAAAAAAACAATCTATATAGAGTTATTTATAGAGATATATATTAAAAATAAAAATGTCGACTATTTATTGAAAAGTATACATTTTTTGCATAGAAAAAACTTTTTATTTAGAAATTGGTTTGTTTAACAAATGAGAATAACTTTATTTGGGTGAACATAATAATTTTTTAAATAAGTATTTTGTAAGAAATAATATTTATCAATAAAACATAAAAGAAATACATTAATTTACATATAACTGAAATTTTGTTATAATAACTATACCGATTAATGAAAGGAATTAGAGTATGTTCCAAAATATATATTATATTTATTAGTTAAACATGTATTTTAATAATCCTTAATGAATAAAAATTTACTATTTGACAAAGAAAAATGATACAATATAGAAATTGATTTTTAATGTATAAGGATTTTTTGGTAAAACATTGTTTGAATAAAGTTTATGGATATAAAGTGGTTTGTGCTTCAATATGATGAAACATGTATAATAAAGTATCTTAAATTTATTAAAGAAGGAATTTATTATTTCTGTAATAACGTTAAAATTATTTTAAATTTATAATTGCTTATACAAATATAACATAATTTTTTTCTTATAGTGCAACAACCAAATTTATCTCACCCTTTTCACTTGCATGGATATGCTTTTAAAGTAATTGGCATTGGTCGCTCTCCAGATAAAAATGTAAAAAAAATTAATTTAAAGCATGCTCTCGACCTTGATAGACGGGGCTTACTTCACCGAGAGTTTAATCTTCCACCGTCTAAAGATACAATTGCTGTTCCAAATAATGGATACGTCGTTTTTCGTTTCAGAGCAGATAATCCGGGTATGTTCAATATATTATAATTAATTATGAATTGGTTGTTATATTGTTAATATATAGTACTAATTAAAAGTATTAAAGAATTCTATACATTTATGAATAATAAAATTGTAGTTACATAAAAATTCGTATATAATCCTTTATTAAATAAATACATACGTTTCTATAGAATTTAATGGTCTATATTATTTCTTAATAACTATTATTTTTATACACAACTTTAATTATTTAACTTTATTTCATAACTTTAAATTTTTATACGGACACCGAACTTTTAGCTTTAACTATCATAGTCATAGCTCAAACTTATTTTCTCCGTTGATTTTTCATTTTCTTTACTAAGATACATCTCAGTGAGTTTTCTTCAATTGTGCTTATAAGAAATTAGATTAATAATGCCACAGTATTTTTATATATACATATTTTGTATATTCTACATTTTATCCACGTGAAACAAAGCTGTGTAATAAAGAAGTATGTAATATAGCAATTAAAGTAATAATAGTAATTCCAAATAACGTTAAAACAACAATAATGTACAATGATAATATTGTTGCTAACGAAGAAAATAAACCAAGAACAATTAGTTGATAGTGATGGAATCGAAAGGTAACATAAAGGTCAATGGAACATAGATAATCAAATAACAATTCTTTGCTCTCAAATAATATTTACAAGGAAATTAATATCTAGGTGAAAGCCATATTAAAGGAGAATAATTATTATTGTTCCATTATTGTATTTGTACAAAATGTATTCGCCATTCCGGCTTGTTTTACCAAGGCCGGTTCGAAGGATACAAATTGATGCCGTTGACAACTCAGAGACCAGGGGTGTTGTGTGGTAGCAATGAAAGGTCACAAGTGGAAGGGATATTAAAATAATACAATAAATATATGGCTGAAGTATGCTATTTATTCTGTTATTTATTAATGACAAGGTTGACTAGTATTACTATTATTACTTGTAGAACTAAATTCTTGGATTTAAGTGATGTGTTGCGGAGACAACTGTACAATAATCTATGCAGCTTGATTGTTGAATACGAATGGCGGATGGCGCGAAGTTTCGTTCATCGACACTAGCGCCTTTAGAACGAGCACGTGTGTGGTGGAGGTTATGAATGCAGCTTTATGATTGAAAGATACCGCAGAGTGGCGCGAACTGGATTCGTCGACATTTGCGTTGTGTGTTGCTTAATTTCATAAGTTTCCGAACTTGAACTAAGGTGAGGGTTGCAAAAAAGGGACGCCCCTTTTGCGAGCGCGAACTTGACGACGCGTACTGGAATTTATTCCGCACTGTCGTTTTAAGAGGAGCTTCCTCGTCCTTAGTGCTTGTCGATGTAATACTCTGAATCTCAATATATATGTAATTATTGTAGTAGATACTACTTACAAAGACTAATCGTTGACTCGTCTTCGGACTCTGATAGGCGGATTGTCGTAGCTCCCTTGGAACAAGTAACTGCGTTAGTGGACATACGGGTTTATGTCGTAGTTCTTCCGGAGCAGTAACTACTTCCAGCAACAGTGTTTATGGACAATCCGAAAAAGTGTAAGTCGTTCCCGATATAGCACTAAATAGACTTTCACTACACTTAACTGAGTATGAAATATCTCAAAGGTTTAATATATTGAGAGAGTATTACTAAAAGAGAGATATCAAATAAGGGATAGACACTTCAAAAAAGGAGTAATATCACGAAAATACTACTAAAGAAACTATCAAGAGTAAATATCAAGGCAGTTAAATATCACGAGTGATAAGTATTAAGAGAGTTAAGTATCAAGGGTGAATAAGTATTGAAAATTGCGCCCCATAAATACATTTGCTGACCATGAATTTTACTTGAACCCCTTCCCTTATTTTCTGTCCAATCAGAGACTCCTCCCTTATGGTGTGAGGGCAGCGCCTTTTTTGGCTTCGGAGTTAATTAAGGGCCTAGTCGTCTCTGGGTCTTCATGATGAGCAGATGCCTCATTGCTGCTGCCGCATGCGACAGCATGTCGGCAGTGGAAAGGGGGGGCATCGCTGACACATCTGGTGACAGCATTGCAACTTGTAGACAGCGGGAAGGGTAGGAAGGTCCGCTTGCAGTAATGCTTGAAGTAGTTACAGAGCGGAACGAAAATGCAGATGTCTAAACTATAGGTTTTCTCGTGTTTACGGTATTGTTTTTCCAGATGTTTTATGACACTAGTGCTTGATAATTTTTAGCAAGCGAAGTTTTGACATCCAAATATAAATTTTATAATGTTATTTGCCAGATGCTTTATTGCACTGACAAAAAAGGAAAAATGTTCTCGCATTCTCGAACAGGCTCCCTCTTCAGCGGTCTGACAAGAATCAAGTTGCACAAGAGTGTTGGTGTTGACCCGCAAGAATAATAGCATGTGATACAGCTGGAGATGCCAGTCTATGTCGTCACCCTTAATGTGGTCTGACTATAGTCATGTTGCGGAATATGCACCGATAGCTGGCCAGCAATAGATAATAAATAATGTAAATAAATGAGTATACCTTGCACGGATTCCTGTAGACGTGCAGAACTTTTCACTGTTATGACTTGCACTAATTTCACTTTGACTTACTTACTCAACAAGACTAATTGTCTTCGTCGTCTGTTGCTCCTTATATATGATTGCATATATTTAGCGTTGTAATTCTTGGAGACTCTGGTGAATTTTCAGAAAGCAAGCTTTAGTAGATTCGAGAATCTTCCTTTGTTGCTATGCGGATATAGCACGAGGCGTAAATTTCATCGAGAATTTTCGTATAGAATAATTCAAATATTATGCATTATAAACATAAATGTAATGTAATGGAATCATATTATAATGAACAATAAATTTTATATTGTTGGGTAGTTCAATCCCGAACAATAGATATAAAACGGAATAAATAATTAAATATATAAAAATTAAAATTTACAATAACCTACAATTTATTGTCACAATAAATAAAAGTACATGTTTAAAATAATTTAAATGTTTAATACAATTTTAATTTAATAATATTCTTGGTATAATACAATTGCCTAATATATTCGAGTATAAATTTAAATAAAATATATTCTAGAATGAAGAATTCATATATAAAAATTAGCATTTTTTCGGGATTGAAGCAATTCCATGATAGTTGGCTCTCGGCATGTTTCTGTAAATACTCGGGACGACAATTTTCTAATACTTGTTATCGTTTGGTTTCAAATGCCTTACAATGTTTATATGGTCTTCCCGTAGTAAAGTGGTTTGGAATTCTCCAAAAATTTCTTAAGCCTTGTTTTATCTTAGAGCTTTCGAAACTTCTAGAGTTTTCGTTCTGCGCCTCATGTAATATTCCAGTATAGCAACAACGATGCTTTGTTGCCAGCAAAGCGGCGCGAATATTTAAGGGCAGTAGGCTACGTCCAGTCGCATATTGTGAATTATTCAGTCAAACACTTAATAGTCATTCAACTACACTATTCAGCCAGTGCTTTCTGCCATACACCAGTTGCTCAGTTACATTTGCATAATGAAGCCATCCCAAGGAATACACGTTTAAATTATCAAGTGTGCTACAACTTACAAGAAGTCAAGGATGATGACTGCATTATGAGAAACTATACGGCTACAACAAGCATAGTCTCAAGTTATTTCTTTACACTTTCAAGGCCACACGTTCTATATAGGAGTATACGCGAATTGCACTTTGATACCACACGTCCTATACAGGAATGTGAGCATATATACTTTGAGGCCATACGAACTATATAGGAGTGTGAACATACATACACTTTGAGGCCACACGTCCTATACTGAAGTGTGAACATATTTCTGCTAATCCTTACAACATTAGCAAAGACCACGATATCGCCACCATTAAGTAGCAACTATACTATTGAGACAAGACAGAGCCTACACTCTTCTGTGAGAAGTGAATGGTGCTTATTATTAATAATGTTAATGTACTAATGTTAATAATGTAACTATTAATAAACCATATGTTAACGAAGTTTGCACATACTACATATTTCTGCAACCCTTCCACTCGACTTCCACCCAAGCAAATGCTTGGGTGGACGGCAAATTATTAATACTATTGAAACATTGGCATTTCGAGCCAGGAAATAATACCATTTTCGAACAGTATTTGTAATAAAAGCATTTTTATTTTAACACACACACACACACACATATATATATATATATATATATATATATATATCTATTAATATAACAAAATGAAAAAAAGGATATTATTCAGAAATTTTTGTTCCATATTTTTTAATAATATATACTATATGATCGCTGCAATAATTAATAATGTATGAACGTTTATATCACTTTTAATTTTCATGAATATAATTTTTTCATTAGGTTACTGGCTATTTCATTGTCATTTCTTATTCCATATTGTCATTGGTATGAACCTTATTTTACACGTTGGAACACATGCTGATTTGCCACCAATTCCATCAAATTTTCCGACATGTGGTGATCATCTACCACCAATAACTTCACCAATGTCAAGCGACACATTTCATTGAATATACTTATTTATTCGTTTATTTAAAGAATTACGTTTTCATTATATCATATATAAAGAGACTGCACGATTCAAAATGTATATAACAATCTTGTAAAATACAAATCTATAATTTGTGCTTAAAGCGTTTCTTTAAAATATTTGTTATTGAAGGTGATTATAGTTCTCCTAATATTTGTTTTTTAATCAGATATTTCGATAACTATTCACCATTACTCGACTGCCATTCTAAAAACATATTGTAAACTGAAATAGTTAAACGAGTCATGAACCAACAAGTTTTGTAGATGTGAACATTTGTAAATAAGATTTTAAAATTGGTAAATAATTTTATGTAGTATATATTCATTTTTGTGACTACTGACAAAAGCAGTCTGATAATTTTTCGATTTTTGTAAAGGATAATGTTCTAATCAAGAATTTATTAAATACACCTTTTTTATTGAAAATAAGTACATAAACAATTGTATAATAAACTGAATAACATAAATATAAACTAAAAATAAGTATTTGTCAAAGAAATAAATATTTTTTATACAACTAAAATTGTGAATTTATTGATTAGTTTGAAAGAACCTCACATTTGTATCTTATATATACTGGTTAGGATTAGAGCGCTTTCCAAGACCGTTGGTCCTAGGAATTGTTAATCCCTCTAAGTCTCGAATTTCTATAAATATTTGAGTCCGAGAATTCTCGAATATTCTGACACTTTGGTTTAAAACGGTCAACAGTTATAAGTCATTAGGTTATTCAGCCACACGTACAAGCAGTCAAGGGTGCTAACTGCATGACGATAAACTACACTGTCACAACAAGCATAGTCTCAAGATATGTGCATGCGTTCTACATAGGTCTATGAGTTTATTACTGCTAATTCTGGCAACATTAGAAGAAGTCACTTTATTGTATACACGCCAAGGCCACACGTTCTGTACAGGACTGTGAGCATATTACGGCTAATCTTGGCAACATTAGCAGAAGCCACTTTCATTGTATACATTTGAGGCCAGATGTCCTACGTAGGCGTGTAAGCATATTTCTGCTAATCCTTATACTATTAGCAGAAACCAGGACATCGTCATCATCAAGGATCAACCACATCATTGAGACAAGCCAGAGTTTACACTTTTCTATTAGAATTGAATCCTGCTTAAATTAAAGTTATCGAAACATTAGCAGTTCGAGTACGCCATAACACCGACCACTGTCTGTCTTAACAGAATCACCATCAGAAACAGGTGCTCTCTATTAGCAAAGTCGCCACGGAGTGAACATGCGATCCGTTTTGTGAGCCTATTCAACGAGCTATTATTATTTGAACTACGACAGAGAGTATACGGTATCAATTGTACAAGCATTCAACAACCACACCTGCAAGGAGAAAATGCTGAAGGAGCATCGCAACACCCTCCACTCCTACAAATTCAGGGAATCTCACGCTTCTGGATAAAGCACACTCTCAGTCTCCCACTTCGACGAGTAAGTCCAAAAACATACAAGGCATTCATAAGTAATCACTAACACGATCACCATAGAAACTGTTTCCGCACCATTGCGCAACCTTGTTTTGCAGTGCACCCACACACTCTTACACTCCACACAAAACCATCAAGTTGCACTACAATAAGAAATAGAGAGATTTACGACCTCTCACTTTTGTGTGGTCTACCTACCACCAATCGCACTACGTCAAGAGGTAATGACATATTCGACATGTAGTGCATGCTACCACCAAGTGGAAATCACCAAAGAACTACAAGGATTACAACAACTTTCATTATCATCTGAGAATCATTATAGTGCAATTGAAAATAAACCCAACAAACAGCATGAAAAATAGATCTGTTAATTACTGAATAGAAGGACTTATCCTCACTTTCTCCCACCAGTGAATTGATGGTCATAGTCTAATCCAACAATCCTGGTCCTTCGGTCACCGGATAACTCGAAATCTAAACATACAGATATCGACCATTTTCTAACTTTTCAAACAATAAAAGAATTATAAATAAATATATTATTTATTTAAAATAAAATATAGTTTGTTAGATATTTGCTTAATTTGTATCACTTTCTTCATATAATCTTAAACATTATTTAGGAAAAATACACTAATAACAATTTATATTAAAAGCTTAATTATATATGTAATATTTTTATGAAATAGTGTGTCTGGGATCAGACTAAAAACCTCCTTATGGTGGTGGGTGGAGGCTTGCTGGCAAGTGGAAGGAGCAATGCAATTATTCAATACTGCCTTTAATGTTAGTAGTCTTTCCTTTTATTGAATATAATAAATAATGAATAGTTAATAATCTATGAATATTGGAATGAGTGTATGATAGAATGAATAGATGAGTGTTTCTTCATTAATGTTGGTGGCGATAAGTCTGTACGCGTATTCTTGATAGCCTGGAGCGTGATTCCCTTTCTTCATTTGGGTTGAGTAATTGTAGTGGGGAACTCGTGGTAGTAGAGGTAGCAAGTTAGTACCGTCTTGGCAGTCGGCGAAGGGTGAGTAGTAGTGTACGAAGTGGTAGGAGAACGTCCGTGTGACGTCACAGCTTGTGTCCGTGAGCTCAAAGGTAGTGGTGATATTGGTGCACGTTCGTGTGCTCAATACGAGCGTACCCGCGGTGTAGAGGTAAAGGTAAGAACGAGCGTCGGCGTCACTTACATGCGGGCATAAACCGTGAGTGTACAGTAGTGGCGGTCCTGTCGTGATGGGGGCTTGTTAACTAGAAGAAGTAGTAAGGAATAAGCGTCTGCGTTGCTTACGGAGGCGTGGGTGCCAGTATAGTTGTGGCATCGCTATTAGTTCCTCAGGTTGCTTGATGCTTGCCATGGCCTCTCAATGGCGATGGCAAGGTTGGCTAGCGAGCCCGCTGTGAAGAGTGCATGATTGGTACTAGCAGGGCAATCGTGACACGTGCAGCTCCTTTCCCATTCTCGTACATCATACACATCGGTGGCTGTTACTATGCCGCTATTTGTCGTGACGTCAATAGGGCATAGCTTTGTCGGGTTCATTTGTTATTATTTCTCGGAATTATAGTTGTATGTTCGAGTTTTTCGGTTAGAAGCATTCGTTGAGTCCGTTGGCCAATGTTTACCAAACAATGCTTCGCGCGTTCATACCTCTCCCACTTTGTATTCCGTTTAAAACTGTTGTAATCCGTAACATAGTGATTTAGGATATTAAAAGCCCAATTCTTACATAATTACATATTATTAAAATTTGTAATTATAAATTAATTACAGTTTCATTATTATTACAGTTAGGAAATTCTATAAAGTTCTTTGCTCTAAAATTGCACTGATCTGATGCATTGATCCGATTCGAAGGATCAATTGATCTTGATGGATGGGATTTTATCTACATAAGTTTCATCCATGAGTCTGTCCACAGATATGTAGCTCCAACGTCCGTCTTTAGTTTGGCTAGGACGTAATACATAAGTTTTGATAAGAGCAGTGCTGCAGCTAGCCAATGTTGGAATACTGATCCGTTTAAGGTGTCGTTATACGATCTGAGTAGTGGACGGAGATGTATATGACTACTGAAATGGCTATTTGGGATGCGTCAGGAAAACCATGTAGCTCTATAGATGAAGTCATTCCTATATTTAGCCAACGTGGTATTCAGATCTCGGTTAATTTGGCGAGATCCTTTCTGATGATTAGCCATTGTGCAGAAAGCTGCAGTAGCAGCGTCTGGTTCCATTGGAACTTGTGTAGGCACAGCTCCAGCATGAATATTTTAGCCTTGATTATGACAGGCGAAACAAAACCTAATGGATCAAATATTTGGGCTAGTTCAGAGACAATAATTCGTTTCGTATGATTGTGTAATTCCACAAAAAATTTTTTTTTCGGAATGGGAATTTGTCATGCCTTGGTGATCATGTTAATCCAGGTATTTTGGTAGCGCAATCATCGAACTTATTGATGTCATTCTTATCCGCGTTAAGTGCGGTGATCACATCTTAATGTGTTGCAACCATTCTGCCAACGGAAAAGCACCCGCTATGCAGAGATCTCGTAATTGGAGTGCGACTTCAGTAAGCTGTTCTGGAGTATCTGTACTTTCGAAGATGTCGTCTACATGTGTGCTATGGGTGATGTCCCCCACATGCACAAAAAATTTGGGAAGGTTCGGTCTATTAGGTTGTCAGTATTTCTCACCCAAACCCTATGCCATTACCTTGAAACATTCCTAAGTATATAACTCAAATTACTCATATTTTAGGCTATTTCTACCCACTGCTGTCCCCCACATGCACAATAAATTTGGGAATGTTCGGTCTATTAGGTTATCAGTATTTCTCACCCAAACCCTATGCCATTATCTTAAAACTTTCCTAAGTTTATAACTCAAATTTCTCATACATTCGGCTATTTCTAGCCACTGCTGTCCCCTACATGCACAAAAAATTTGGGAATTTGGGAAGGATCGGGCTATTAGGTTGCCAGTATTTCTCACCCAAACCCGATGCCATTATCTTAGAATATTCGAATGTTTATAACTGAAATCACTCGTACTTTAGGCTATTTTTAGCCACTGCTGTCCCCTACATGCACAAAAAATTTTGGGAACGTCCGGTCTATTAGGTTGTCAGTATTTCTTACCCAAACCCTATGCAATGACCTTGAAACATTCCTAAGTTCATAACTCAAATTACTCACACTTTAGGCTATTTCTAGCCACTGCTGTCCCCCACATGCACAATAAATTTGGGAAGGATCTGTCTATTAGGTTGTCAGTATTTCTCACCCAAACCCTATGCCATTACCTTGAAACATTCCAAAGTTTATAACTCAAATTTCTCATACTTTCGTCTATTTCCAGCCCCTGCTGTCCCCTACATGCACAAAAAATTTTAGGAACGTTCGGTCTATTAGGTTGTCAGTATTTCT